AAAAGTTATGGATCCTATAAAACAGCACTTTTGTTTTATTGATTATGTTTGTTAATATTGACATCCTAACACTTTAAACGAAGAAATTGTGTTAAAATACCTAAACAATCGTTTAGTAGCGTATAACTCTCTTATGTGTCATTTGCTGACCCAATATTTTATATAAACTTACAGATCCTATTATAATAGACTTGTTTATGTTAAGCATTTATGTTTTTAGTATTATCCTAACATGAGATAAGACAGAAAACGTTTTGAAATGGCTGACAAATTGTTTTGTCGTTTGTAATTTTAGGGTTTTTGACCCTATAAATACCTATGATGAAAACAAGACAAGATTAACCAAAAAACTTGACTTTTACTCTTTGATTTAGTGAAAATTTAAGACACTCGTTAAGCAGTCGTCTCTACAGAATTTCATTTGAAAACTAATTATTTTAGACAGCTTCAAATTTAGGTCAGTAATGTTCTGATTGATATTACTTCATAGTTTGTAAAATTCAAACTATAATTAACTTGCATGCATTTTGATTATATTGCGATGACCAAACATTGAGGGAAAAATTTGGAATAGTTTACTGTCAAAAAAGTTTGTTGAATATGCAAAGATAATGGAGAAAGTCTTATTACAAAAACAGTAAATTATGAAATAAATGGCATAGTAAAACAAAAGGCTGACTCAGATAGAGGGATTAAGGTGGCTCATGTTACAGTGGTAAACGTGCTTGGTAGTGACACAATATTGTTCTAGAAGTGAAGAGTTTGTTTTCTGATGAATACAGATCTTTCAAAATCTGTTTTTATCGGAAAAAGTTCCTGTGTAATTCTGGCTATTTTGGGGCCAGTTTTTCCTTGCAATTTTCTTTTAGAGTGATTCCAGGATCTTTCCTTGCCTTAAATGTCTTTGAGCCTGAGTGATTGTAAGATAGTGTTCAGGTTACCGATAGGAATTAGCGTATCTAACGACAGGCGCCAGACAGGAATAGCCAGCCTTACTAGTAGGAGTGATCCCTTAAACGTAGGGCTATTACGGGGATACTAATTAGCCAGGATCCGATGCTTTGTCAGAGAACGCTGGCTTGAGGTAGCTCCTTTGTCTACTGCATGCTCTAGTCACGTAGGAAAGTTTTACTCGTATATGTATATATGTATACATACATCAGTATTGTTATTTTGTTATCGTCTGTCATTCATAACCATGAAGCTGATTTTCACGTCTTTCTCGGCAAATATCTTTTAAAAATGATCGATAGCCAGCATTTTTCATAACAGAAATAAAATAATGAAATTTTTCCTACAAATACATCATAAAATGGCTGCTCAGGTTTTTAATTTTGAGTCGAAAAATACTTGTACAATTGATTTTTTAATGCTTTTTCATTTCAGGTCATATTACTCAGTTCAATTTTCAGCTGAAATTTCTCGAGATTTTTTCCAATTTGGAGTATAAACAGAGTTACCATTGGATTCAGCAGATTTTAATCTACCAAATTAAACAAATTTTTTTCTCAGATTTTTGCAATGGAGTAACCTTAACTGACAAGAAATAGGCGTTCTGAAAAATGTAGTCTCCATCTGGAAAATCTACACAGTAGCGAATGGACCCGATGCACATCCATGCAGAGAGTTCCAGCTTAACTGGAAGATGTTTCACTGGAGATGTTTCCACTGCTCCTATAGTATGATAAATATATCAGCTAGAAAATTGGTACATGGGTGCTGGAATATGCCCTTACACATAGGAGGTGAGTAGCCGGCTTTGGTGGCTGGGCAAGTAGTCAGTCACGGTAAAAGGGTAAAAAAGTAAAATTAAAACACACATATATATGTATATATGTATATATATATGTATATGTATAAGTTAATTCGATCTGGAACAATAGCATTATAACAGCTACAATTCATTTATTGTAAAATAATGTTGTAAGTGTGTTGAAAAACCTTCATCTTGATATTGTATCCCTTAAAAATGCTTCAATGGAACAGAATTTTTGTACATTTTTTTGGTTTTTTAACCATTTTGTCAAATAAAAAAAAGTATTTTTACAGAAAATTTGAAAAAAACTAATTTTTGAGGTAAGTGCTCTTCTCAATTCACTCCAAAGTTACCATTTTTTTTACCAAGCCACCAAAATTCTTGTATCATGTTGTATAGTTAACAATAAATTTTAAAATATACTTCATTTAGTATCTAAAATTTTAATATTTACTCAGTAAAACGTAAGCCTTATAGCACATATCAGAAAAAAGTTTAAAAAACGTTATTGCTAATATTTTAGAACGTTGCTAAGAAATTCAAAATAATTTCTAAAAATGTTCTGGAAACGTTAAAAATTTTCGTTTTTTCTGAGGTACTTTTCTATTATTACTATTAATACAGTACTTCCACTGGTTCAGAGTTTAACGAAAACCTTAGATTTTTTTTTAATACAGCTTTAAAAACAATAATATAATAATAAATTTACTTATCATTGCCCAAAGTGTTGGCAAGTGTTATAGGTGCAACCAATTCCTAAGAACTTTTTTTTTCGACATCAGTACAAGTTTTGTTCATAGTTGTGATAATAGCATAAAATGAGATGTTTACTTCGTTTAAACGTCATTTTTTTATGATACAGGAGCAAAAAAAAATTACAGTATACTTTTACGCAATAAGTTATTAGATTACACAAAATGTCTTTTTTGTAAAAATTTCTCTTGATATTGTTAGTCTTACACACCTAAATATGGTGAAATAATGAACTAGGATTTACAGTACTGAGATTACAAAATGATACTAAAAGTGACAAAGTAGTGATCAGTTTTACATCATCATGGTATATTACATTCACGAATCCCCTTTTAAATATGCTTACAAGATGCTCGCTTTCAATCATACTTCAGAGATAGACCTACTTTTTGTCACGTTTCAAAAAAAATTTTTTTTTTGGTCGCTAAATCTAGACTTCTTTTTCGTCTGTACTAACGTAATGTTCAATATTTCTCAAAACCCAGTTTATTAACGATTCATAATTTTTTTTACTACAACATTATCTAGCAACATGTACAGCACATGATGAAGATAAAAAGACTTAAACTCCAAAAACATCTCCATGGATAGAGAAATTTCCATTATTTATTCAATATAACTCTTACTGTGGTACGAAAATTATCAGGTCACGCTATGTACAACTTTGGCACTAAGAACTTAATTAACTGTACAAGTACATGTACACAACATATGCAAACTTTAAGTGTCAGGATAATTTTTTAGGTATTTCAGAGTAGTATTAAAATTTAAAACCAGTAGACAGCAGGTGCTTGGGTATTTAAGTATGAAGTTATACTTCTAGTACGTTATACTACAACGATTATCGTTGAAATGAGTATTTCTACGTTCATGGGGTGTGGTTAATACATATTCTAATATTTAATTACTGTATGGTTGTTAAAAATATATTATAGCATAATACAATATAAATAATATGTAGGCTGGCCAGTATAAGATGTGTGATTTCATCAAATCTTCCGATGGTTTCAAAACAACTCTCTACGGACTACATTGATTACATCTTTAACGTCACGCTCACATCTGTAGCATACGCTCAGACACTGATTGCTAGTACGTATTTAATACCTAAAATCTAAATTCACCTAAAAGGTTGAGAAAACCATCCTGTAGTACCACTTTCATTATTAAGGTAGTATTACGTGGAAGTGAATGTCCCTTCAGGATGTTCATTACACATAGATTGTTTTCACAGATATTATTCAAACATTAAACGTATCCTGTTCTATGGTCTTGGAGTGCTCCCGAAATAACTACAAGGAATTTCTATCAAGTACTGTATAAATATCAAAAACGAGAGAAAGAGACGCATTGTGCTTAATTGTTTGAGTCCAAGGACTTACTCCTTACTATTGACCGATTCACTTGCTTGGTATTCTCCAACTGATCATAACTCTCAACTCCAATATCCTTATTTTCTCAGCTTTTTTATCCTTTAGGGCCCAAACAAGGAGGGACGCACAGATACATAGCTATATGCTATCGTACGTAATACGCCCGAGGCCACGACGTCATCATTCTCGATGGCGATCGTTTTATCCTTTCTAACAGTATTGTGTTTGTATCATATTGTTTGTGTTGTGTATATTGAATCCATTTAGAAAAAAAGGGTGAGTTTTTTTTCTTTATCTCTGTTTCTCTTATTGACCTCTTACGCTGTGCAGTCAGTCTACACATACATGTTCATGTATGCGCTCTTCTCTCTTATAATTCTTGTTTGAATTTAGAAATTGTCTTATACTCAACTTATTACATAATATTTTTTTTCCTTACATATTTTTGTTTTTCTTTTATTTTCTTGTACATAAAGACATTAAACAATTAATTATAAGCCAAGTTTTTCTACTTTAATTTTCCTTGTGTTTATTTTACAGTACATAGATCTTCGCTAATCATTAACTTTATTTGAACATACTCTTGTTTCACATGTATATATTGTTCTACTGATGACGATACAAAAAAAAATTTAATCATTATTTTTCTGTTACAAATTTTTTTTCAACACGCAGTTTTATATCATTATTCTTAGTTTAACAATTTTTGTCAAAGGTTTATGTAGTGTATGTGTATGAACGAACGTGTACGAGCGAACGACCGGAGCGCCACGACTCCAAACTTAGATAATAGAAACATATGTACCTACATTACAGTTGAAATAAAAGTCAGTTACTTCCAAACAGCAGTCGGGTTCACTCATACCTCTTCCTAAATTGAATAGTGGCGACGAGGATTAAAGTAAAAGTATATAGATGGTAAACTTGTAAACGGTTTATAAAGGATACTAGATTAAAGTAAATGGTAAATAGTATACGTATTAAAGACACAGCAAGAAATAATTGGAAATGTAATGAGCGGGGTAAGGGGAACAAGATGGATTCAAGACTTGAATAAAGAGGAAATTACAAAGTATGTGTTGCGAATGAACTTCAAGTGAGTGATTCGGAAAATTTAGACGATCTGAGAATTAAACTGAGAGAATGGGTCAAAAGAAAAATTAACGAAGGAAAAGAAAACGAGGTGATTATTTTGGAAGATATCGAATCCGAAAGTGAACCAAACGAAAAGAAGAAATACACGATGGAAATAGCAGCGTAACTGGATTTTGATGTAAAAAAAGACGATTGGGAAAAATTCATTGATAGGTTGGAGCAGTGCTTTATTGCCAACGATATAGTGGATAAAAAGAAAATGAGAGCAATCTTGTTGAGTAAAGTAAACGCGGATACTTACGATTTAATCGATCGGATTTGCAAGCCCGAGAAACCTGGCGAAAAAGAATATGAGGATATCGTCAAGCTTGTAAAAAATTATTTGAAACCAGAAGCATCATATTTAGTACATCGAGCAAAATTTCGTCAGCGCTTGCAATTGGAAAATGAATCAATCACTGAGTATGTGGCAATACTAAAAAATCTGAGCAAAGATTGTAAATTTACGCAATTGGAAGAGCAAATTTTGGATCAATTAATAACAGGACTGCGAAGTAAGGATATAAAAATGGAGCTGCTAAAAATGGAAAATCCAACGATGGCGACGGCAGTGAAGAAAGCGTTAGCATGCGAAGCAGCACATGTAGGAGCAGAAAAATTACAACGCAAGGAAAATTCCGTAGCTCAAGGTGAAATACATAAGGTAAATATTCAATCTAAAGGAAACAGCAACAGAGGCAGAAATAACAGGGGGAGAGGCAGAGGTAATCAAGGCCGACCAACGGACCAATCAACGACACCAGGGGCAGGAGCATCGCAACGAGGTGGACACCGAACAGCGGCGAAAACAGGTGACGCAACAAAAATTTGCTATTGTTGTGGAAAAGCGAATCACTTTGCGCGAGAATGTCGGTATCGACAGCACACTTGTAATATTTGTAAACGTTGCGGGCATTTAAGTACAGTGTGTTTTGAAAGATCAAGAGTGTCTGATGCGAATGAGAGAAAGAATACGAGAGTTAGTTACGTAGATTCCGCGTCAAAGACAGCGATGCAGATAGTTTGACACGCGAAATAACTCATATGTTTCCCAAAAATAGAGTAAGCGAAATTTATTATTTAAGGTCGTATGTGCGGGGAAGTACACGAGTAGATGCTCAGTTTATAACAGTAAAGATAAATAACGTTGAAATTCCTACGGAAGTTGATTTGGGTGCTGCGATTTGAATCTTGACGTTAAAGTACAAAAATAGATTTTTCCACGATATTGAAATGTATGAGTCAGACATTACGTTGCTTAATCACGATGGATCCGTATATAAGCCAGCAGGTATGCTACGACAAATTGAAATCAAAGCAAACGGAAAGTCTGTATCTGCTGATGTTTACATCACAAATGCGAACGGGCCAGCAATAGTTGGTCGAAAGCATTTAATTTGTGGCCTCTATTTTACGATATAAAATATCAAACGATCGAATCAAAGGTTGTAGCGAACGAGAAGTTGAAAAGTATAATCAAGAAACATGAAGCGGTATTTACGGGCCGGGGAAAATTTACAAAAGGCGAAGTAAAATTAGAATTAAAAGAAGAGGCCAAGCCAAAATATTTGCTTGCACGATCGGTACCATTTGCGTTGAAAGAGCGAATTGAAAATGAATTAAAGCGATTAGAAAGTCAAGGAACAATCGAAGCGATTAAGCACTCTGAGTGGGCTACTCCAATAGTGCCAGTGCTTAAACCAGATGGCAGTATACGTATGTGTGCTGATTTTAAGGTCACTTTAAACCCGCAATTATTCACGGTAAGACATCCGGCGCCTAATTTTAAACATGCAGTTGCACAGTTACAAGCTGGGGTTAAATATTCAAAGTTAGACCTAAAAGAAGCATATTTACAGATGCCGGTCGAAGAGAAGTCTCAGATGTTGCTTAATATTAACACACACATGGGATTATTCAAATACAAGTACATGACATTTGGAATAAGTTCAGCCCCGGAAATTTTTCAATTACGTATGAAGGAAATTTTAAAGGGAATTCCCGGAGTAGCGATTGTAGTAGACGATGTGGTTGTGACGGGTAAAACTACAGATGAGCATTTGAAAAATTTAGATAGAGTTTTAGGGAAATTAAATGAATGTGGACTTAAAGTACGGGTGGAAAAATGCAAATTTTTTGAAGATAAGATTACGTATTAAGGTTACGAAATTAGCGGTAACGAAATAAAAGTCGATCCACATAAATATCAAGTGATTGATGAAATGAGTAGACCTAAGGATCATAATGATTTACAATTGTTTTTGGGTAAAATTAATTATTATGGAAGGTTAATAAATAAGCTTGCAGAAAAACTTGCAGCGTTATACGAATGTCAGGAAAAGGAAGAATTTGTGTGGAACGAGGCATTCGAAAAAGCATTTGTAAGTGCGAAAGAGAGTTTGAAACAAGCCGTTGTTAACTATGATCCTAAACTACATCTAATTGTGACGATGCATCGCCCACGCCGCTAGGATTGGCAGCATATTTAAGCCAACCCTATCCGAATGGTGATGAACCAGTAGCGTTTGCGTCAAAACGTTTATCAGAAGCGCAAAAAGGGTACTCGCACATCGATAAGGAGGCGGCTGCAATAATTTTTGGAGTATCGCGATTTTATGATTATGTATATGCACGTAAATTTATTTTAAGAACCGATAACAGACCAATTTATAGAATTTTCGGACCGGAGAAAGAAATACCGCGAATGGCAGCAAGTTGGTTGCAAAATTGGGCATATTTTTTGTCTAGTTTCGATTATAGTATTGAATGTATACGCACCGAACAAAATATTGTATCCGACGCTTTATCAATATTGCCGAGTATCGTGGAGGATAAAAATAATATACCGGAGATTACTTATTTACATTACGTGGTCCAAAGTGACATTGCTCGTTTTGATTATAAAACTGTGGCTCGCGAGACGAGTAATGATAAAATTTTTCAATTGTAAAGCGTCTAGTGGAAAGCGGATGGCCTGAACGTAAAGTGAATGGATGGCCTAATGAATTAAAAAGTTATGCACAACGTAAGGACGAATTATCAGTTGAGCGAGGCTGCCTAATGTGGGGACATCGTGTTATTATACCACAAAAAGTTCGAAAGCGTATTGTCGAACAATTACACGAGTGTCACTTTGGCATCGTTAAGATGAAATCTCTGGCAAGGTCGGTCGCATGGTGGCCCGGCATCGATAATGAGTTGGAAAATGCAGCAAAGTATTGCCAATATTGTGTTCAAGTAAACGATTCTCCTCGAAAAATGGTGTTGACGCCGTGGCCATGGCCTGACCACCCTTGGCAGAGATTACACGCAGATTTTGCGGGGCCGTATATGGGTTTGACATATTTTTTGCTAGTGGATGCGTATTTGAAGTGGCCAGAAGCATATATTGTAAAAAATATGTCTGCAAATCGACAATCAATTTATTTTAAAAAATTTTTTCGGTTCACGGATTGCCACGTCACGTAGTGACAGATTCAGGATCACAGTTCAAAAGTGAAGAATGCCAGACATATTTTAAAAATTTAGGCATTAAGCAAATCTTTTTTGCGCCAAATCACCGAGCAACAAATGGCGCTGCAGAAAATTTTGTCAAAAAGTTTAAACGTGAAGTGAAAGCAACAATAAATAGTACAGGAGTTGATGTACAAACCGCGATTGATGAATTTTTATTTGGTTATAGAACTACGAAACATTCAAAAACAGGCGAAACACCCGCCAAATTATTTTTTAAGCGTGAATTAAGAACTCCTTTACATTTAGTACAACCAGATGTCAAATATTATGTTACACATAATCAGGAAAATCAAGTAAAAAATTATGTTGGGAAACGATGCGAAGAATTTAAACAAAACGATTTAGTCATGGCAAAAGACTTCCGTAAAAATTTCGACCCTATTACCAAAGCGGAAGTTGTCAAAAAACTATCTCCAAACATTTGTTTAATTAAATTTAAAGGATAAGGAATCCATAATAGACATGGAAATCAATTGCGTCATTGGCGCGCGAATACAAACGATATACAAAATCAGAACACTGTAATTAGCGAAAATGATAAAATTTGTAAGGAGCCAATTAACAGAATTTTAAGGCGATCAAATCGAACTGTAAGACCAGTTCAGCGTTATGAAGTGGAGATATGATTTTATAATTCATCAACACATTTATTACATAATATTATTAAACGTATTTTCTTTAATAAACAGTTGTAATCTCTTAACGAAATAAAAAAGGCGAGGTTGTAGTGTATGTGTATAAACGAACGTGTACGAGCGAACGACTGGAGCGCCGCGACGCCAAGCTTAGATAATAGAAACATATGTACCTACATTACAGTTGAAATAAAAGTCAGTTACTTCCCAACAGCAGTCGGGTTCACTCATACCTCTTCCTAAATTAAATAGTTTATTAATTCGTTATTATTAGTATTCTTTTTACAAGTTCCTTCTACTGTACATAGTTTTTTGGACAAAACAAAAAAAAATCTTTTTCCCTCACCAACTATGCATTTTATTTATTTATTATGTATGTATGTATGTTTTGTTGAAAGAGGCACATACTTTTTGTTATTTGTATACAGGACTATTACTTATACTAAAATGTTAGATTCTAGCACTTAATTTAAATAATGTGTTCTTATTTATCATGCTAATCTCTATTGTTAGTTACCATAACCTGGCTGATGTTCTCGTAGTTGATTGCCTAGCATTGGAATGACAATTGGCTGCAACCTTGTAGAATGAATTGCACTTTTATTCCTCTTGATATTGTTTCTGCTTTCTTTACCTGTAAACATTCAAGCCAAGCTTAGTATGAAGGGGTCCCCCATTTTAAGAATCCAAACAACCCTGCTGCCGTGCCTAGTGCTATTTCTACTGCCATCCATATGTACTTTTCTCAGTTAGAAGACTTCTCCTCTGCTTGATTTACCTCTCGTAGGAGTTCAATTATATCCGTTAATTAATTATATCCATCTTATCCATTGTATCATTCTCTTTAAGTTAAGATTCAGGCCCTTTCAATAAACTACCGGACTTTTACCTTCCTCTTGATCTAGTTCCAGTCCTGTTTCCAACATTTGAGCTGTTCAGCCTCTTGCCAGGTCTATCACTCCAGAGTGCATTACTTTTAGCGTCTCATGATTGGTGTGCTCGCCCTGCTCGTGTATTTTTTCTTTTTTTCCAGTACTGAATACGGGTTAATTTTTTGCATGGAGAGGAGCCAAATATGCACCTTTCTATCTAGCTAATACAAATGCACATTCTTCTCGCTTCTTTGTGGTCTCCCCTAGTATGAGTCGTATCTTGCAGGGGTGGTCCTTCTAAACCTCCTGCGTTGGCTCTACTTGTGTACATACATTTATTTTACCGAATTTCTTGTCTTGATCCACTGGCTGGCCCAATATTTGTGGGAATCTCTTTTTGTTTGTGCTGCTCAGTGTGTACTCGTATGTTGGCTGTAAGTAAGCTACCACATTCGTTATGTTAAACTTTTCCTGCTTCACCATTAGAAGGGATATCCTAAGCAGTTGTAAGTCTTCCTCTATTATCAACGGTATTTAGATGTAATATATAACCTTTTTGTTGAGCGTCAGGGTTTCTATCTCTGCTACGTTTTCTATTTTCTTCTCTGTTGCCATGCTTTCGTCTCTTGGGACCTTGAGATCTGGTTGGAACTGCTTTGCCATTACTTCTGCTTCTAATATTGCTCTTAATGCTGCTTGCGGTAAATGCGATATTTCTCGGCTCACTGAATATGTAATATCCGATGATAATTCGAATTTTGCTGCTAGATCTCCGGCCAGTTGCTCGAATTCCCTTATTATTCCTGACACTCTGTCATCTCTGCTTATCCAATCTGAGAACATTTTCAGCCCATCATCCGTTATTTTTCCTGCATTATCCTCGAACCTCTTCATATTTTGAGGTGTCTGTTTGTAACCAGTGAGCGCTACAACTCTTATTTGCAGATATTCTACTAATAAGTTTTATGCATAGAGACACTATAAATAGAAGGGGCAAGGGAGCTCGACAAGCGTTCACTCGGTAGAAAGAAAAAGGAAACTGGACAGGTCTAGTCTAAAAATACAGCCACCATATTAATAACTGTGTAGGCAGCTAGCCAACTACCCCATCAATGAAAAGGTGCGAGGGAGATACAAGACCCGTCTGGTTTTCTTGCTCTTTTTACCGAGTGGAAGCTTCCACTTACACGCGACCGTATAGTTTGCCTCATCTAGTTATAATATCTCTATGGTTTCATGCTCGTAAATTTTAATGATACACACTTGGTTTTGTTTTTTGTCGATTGTACCACGATTTACTTTTTACCCAATTTTCTATTTTCCTCTTTTGCTCTTTCTTTAACACGGTAAGGTATAGGAAGAGGGGCATATCAGTGATTCCTTGGTCTTTACCCTTTTTTGACATCACGGTTTTCGCTAGTATTTTCTCTGATCTTGCCCTGTGCTCGTGTACGGAGTGTATTATAATTTTTCACTTAAGCAATTGCTCGTTGTATTGTTAATGTCTCCCCATACTGATTGTTGAATAGTGTTGCAGAATCTACGAGGTGCCACATGCATGAGCGTAAGCGGCCAAGATTTCGAAAACTCCGAGGCATTTATAACACATTTAAAAAAAAAGATATGTAACAGGAAAAATGGTTGTTATTTTCAAACTCAGCTGCAGAAAGTGCGTCAACGGCAAGGCCAATAAGTGGGCGAATATTATGATTATGTAAGCCTACTACTGAGCGGTGCTGAAAAGGTTTTGATGGAGGATAAGGCCAATGCGTACAACGTGCATTTGATGGCACCAATAAGAGACATGGCACTAGACATATTTATAAAAGAACTATCATCTATGATAAACCAGCAGGTAGATGCGAAAGAACCTGCCTCCTTAGCCAATGCCTTTGAGTAGGCGTTGAGATTGGAGAGCCGAATAAGAGCGAATATAGTCCTGGTCACACCATACCAAGGACTACCTCGCAGTAATTTTAGAAATAATCTAAATAAATCGAATTAACAACAGAATAGGTACCCTGACCAGCAATTATCATCCTATTAAATAGGACAACCTAATGAGCGTTAAATCAGCAATCAGAATCAAAATACTAATAGGCAATGCAATAATAATCTAAATTTCCGAGGAAATTTTAGGAACAACAAAAAAAAGTCGATATCATGAAAATCAACAAAGTAGTAATAACGATGGGCAAAACAATTTAAATCGACATAACAACGAGAATCCTAACAGTTTTTATGCACAACGAAATTTCAATTTTAATTCTAGAAATAACCAATCTGGTTATCAAGGTCACACAAATAACTATAGTAGATACCCCTAAAATAATAATCATGATAATTACAATGATTACAACCAACAACATTTTAATTTTAATTATCGGAGACAATATTTTCAGAACTATTAACAGCTAAGAGATAATTATTTACGGCATCTTTTAAACTCGAAGGTAGCTCACCCACAACGTCGTGCGGAAGTGAGCCCCCCACGTGTCAATCAGAACTAAACACGGAGTACTACATTTCAGGTATTGAATATTGCAACAGAATCAAAAACGTCCACATTGGTATGTGCCAAGGACTTGGTGTAGACGACGAGCCTACAAGCATAAGGTTGTCAGTCCCAGAAGGAAAAAATGGTTTTATTACACTCATACTTAATAATAAGGCTACCAAAAACCTAATAAAATTGGACTAGTTGCACCCATACTCACGTGTAATAACTAGTGAAATTATTTATCCAACAAAAATAACACCTCACCCAGTTCTTACTGAAAGATTAATTCATATAACTACACAAGAAAAACCTACAGTCTTATCCCTAACAATTTTTACATCAAAGATGGCGGTCTATTAGGTCAAAACTTCTGTAAAGAACGACGAGCTACATTATCATATTATCATGATGCTATAGTAAAAGATGATGACATAATGAACCCCATTCCTTTTTGAAAAATTCTTAAAGAAATAGAGCAACTGGAAAAAGTTGAAAAGGAATGTAAAGCAATAAAACTTAAAAAATAAGCGCAGGAAAATCAAGTTTTGGCTACTACTCTTAATACAAACAAAGAAATGCATTGTCCTAGAAATACGATTGGCGAACAAAAATTTTATGATGAATACATCGTAGGCCAGCCCAAAAGGTCAAATATTACTAAATACAAAAAAATTTGGAGACATAGAAGCTGATTTGCACTTTCGAGATAAATATGACAGATTGATTTTGATAGAGAGGGGTAATAGTTTTATAAGGCCCATTAA